TCTCTCTCTCTCTCTCTCTCTCTCTGTGAAAGAAGAAGAAGAAAAAAAAGAAGAAGGAAGGAGGAAGAAGAGATGGAGGGCGAGACGAATAAGAAGAAGGAGACGTCATCCTCCTCGATGTCTCACCTGCAGGTAACTGCCGCCGTGTACTAGCTGCCGCCGGTGTCTCTCTCTCTGTGCAGGTCGCTGGCGTGGAGCCAGTTATGTCGCCCAGGTGAGGACCGATGCTGCAGGTATGGCCACCGCCTTACTCCCTACCTACACCTCTACCTCTAGCGCAGCGCCGTGTCATGCTGCTCCAGCAGCGTGTCGCCCAAGAAGTGAGCTATTCGAACTGTGTCTGCCCTGGCCTGGCCCAGCTATATGTAACATTGGGCCTCGCCGATGTGCCCCTGGTCCTGGCCTGAAATGACCTACTCGGTCTGGGTCCCGACCGGATGTCCAGACCCTCCCTGCTGATGCAGCAGGGACGTCCACTACTGGACAAACACGAACCTGGCCCACAAGGGCCTGCCTGCGAACGTAGAAGGCCAAAAACGTGGCCTTTGTCCGAACAGACCGAAAGTCTGTTCGGACGAACTGCAAGTCCGAAACAATGCGAGAGCAGACAAAAATAAGACAGCAAATAAATAAATGAATGCTGCCTCGAATCGAATCCTGCGGCCCTAAGGCCGGCCGTGGGCCTCCAGGGCGCATGTCCGAAGGGCGTGCGGCCTGGGGGCCCCCAGCAACCGTCGGGCCCCCGAAACAGGGCCCGTGTACAGGCTCAGCATGTAACAGGGCTCCTGAAAAGGAACGTCTGTGCACAGTGCTTTCTTTTTTTTTTTTCTTCCCTAATCCCCCCTTTTTGGAAACCCCCCCCCCCCCCCCCCCCCCCCCCCCCCCCCCCCCCCCCCCCCCCCCCCCCCCCCCCCCCCCCCCCCCCCCCCCCCCCTCCCTCCTCTCCTCTCCCCTCTCTCCATATACGGGAGACGAGCTGTACTTTTACTACCCTATTTTCTTCTCTCAATATTCTGTCTACCTCACACTAACTACCTACCTACCCTACATTATCCACTCACATATCTAGTATGGACACTTACCTCGTCTTTGCACTAGTTCAACCAAAGTCCCGTTTCTACACCTCGGGACTGGAGCCTAGGGTCTATGGCTAGGTCTAAGACTACCTTAATTTCACTAACCCGTCTGCCTACCTCTGCTTGAACAACCTTATAGTATGTGTTCAGCGTCACGCTCTGCGCGTGCAAGGATCAGACGATCCGTTGAGCTGGTCTCCCTCAGTTACCCCCGATCCTTCCTGCCTTCTGTCGTTCCCGATACTACTGCACTTTTACACATCACATCCTACTATGTGGAAGGAGCAGTACCCAAACTCCTAACACCTGGCGCGGCTGAAAAGACAACCAGCCAGCAGGCCCAAGCCAACAATCTCTGCTGGTGAATCCGGAGCATCCCCCAGGAGGCCTTGGGGGTCGAAAGGACGACGTTGGGTATCGAACCCACGACCTCCTGAGTGCCTCTTACGAGCTCAACCAACTGAGCTAGCCTGCTTGAGCTGCACAGTGCTTTCTTTCGTTTTTTTGAGGTGTTTTTTGGGGAGGCTCCGAGGAGCTACTGATGTGCTGTGGCATTTGGTGTAAAGAAAAGGAAAGGATCACATGATTCAAATCTATATACCGAGCACTCTATCATGCAGCGATGCCCAACACACACATGCATCATCATCATGTAGCGATGCAAGGAGGGTCACGTACACAGATGAAAGGTTCCTCCTCGTGTACACATATATGGGAGAAATAACATAGATGATGGAGGCGCTGGAGAGGAGACGAAGCGTGGGGCGAGAAGCCACAGAAGAGAGTACAATCCACAGTAACTACCGAATGATAACAGTCTCTCTCCGAGTCCCACTATTGTCCCCAGTCAAAATGTCAAGTCCAAACTTGTGGGCAAAGCCTCCCCGAAATAGTAGCCAAGTCTCTCTCTCTCTCTCTCTCTCTCTCTCTCTCTCTCTCTCTCTCTCTCTCTCTCTCTCTCTCTCTCTCTCTCTCTCTCTC